CAGCACCTTGACACGACTCAATAAATGTTATGCAACATTTTGTGAACATCAATTTATTTGCATTTATTTGTTATAAATGCCACTGTATAATTCTTGCTGTCAGTATTTGCAAGATATTGGTATTTGGGTCTGTACTGGTTAGACCTAAATTAGTTAAACCAAGGTCTATAGCCCTTGGGTCATAGACTATGAGCTGTAAGTATATTGGTCTTTTTATACTGGGAATCAGGAGTTATTTTAGTGATCATCTTGTTTCTTATTTATTTTTGTCCTGATTGTGCCCTGAGCAATTTTATGACCGAATAAAAACAAATAAAATCAACATGAATTGAAAAATCGTCTTAAATAATCGTGATCTCAATTTCAGTCACCAAAATCGTGATTATTATTTTTGCCATAATCGAGCAGTCCTAACGCTATGCATTACTGGGCTCCCAGGGGCAGATAAGAGTTGGTCTCTCTGCGAGAATAATTATGAATTTAACAATGATTACTGCCTGATAACATTTTCCCAGATCTGCAAAGCTCACTGGAAGGACACAAACCGAGGACAATATTTTCCTGATATAGGGTTTATTACTCAAGTAAGGGTTAAAAACAGTATCTGATTAGAAGGCTACTTGAGTACTGAGTATCATCTGATCTAATATTTTTTAAATGATGACATCAAACAGACAAAATAAGAAGTTATGGGCAAATATTGGTACTTTAAAGACTAAAGGGGAAAATGTAAACAAATAAACAACATAATTACAATTTGACAAATTTTAGGCAAAAGTTAGACACAAACTGAGGACAATATTTTCCTGATATACAGGGTTTATTTAGAAAATGTAACACGTTTAAAAAAAATACCGCAATAATACCGAAAACATGATAATTTTGGTCACAATAACCGTGAGGTTAAATTTTCACACCGTGACAACCCTAGTACTACAAATGCGCTTCACGAGAGTGACGTCATCAAACCAGACACGGAGAAAACGGAGGGAAAATGGCATTAAGTTCAGCAAACTTCCCACAGGAGGAAAAAAACCTCTATAAATCTGGTAATTTGGTAAATAGCAGCTACTTTGGGGAGAGATTATGTGGTGACGTCGCATATGCGACGTGCAGATTTCTAGTTTGTAGTCATGCTAATTACGGACTTTTACAAGCTAATGAATCTCAAAGTGCGTGACTGGCGTGGTCGAAACACCCATCATTACTTTTCATTTAAATTGCAGTACAACAAATGTGCAATCTAGGGCCTAAGGCAAAGCGGATTAGAAAATAGCGTTATTTATTTATTTGTGTTTTTAGCCCCATTGACTTGCATTCATTTTTTTTTTCGTTCTTCCAGGGACCCATGATGCGAAAGTCACTTAGGCTCCTAATGGTGCTGCCTGATGCTAGAAACTCTGTATAGGCAATAGACAAGCTATGAATCTATCTGGCATTCATTTATAATCTGGATATTCCCAGTACATCCTGGAATATTACTTTGTATGCCAATATTCTTCATTGAAACGTTCCAGGGTGTACTAGGAATATCCAGATTATAAATGAGTGCTAGTCAGCAAAGGACATTGGCAGTAGCTTAGGCTAGCCTTAGCAGTAGCTCAGTCTTGCTTGTTCTGTGATTAGTATTACTGCCACCAACAACTATATATTGCCAACCTTAAAGTGGGTAGGGACATGCAAATTTATGGTGGTCTTTCTAAGCCAGGGGTAGGCAAACCTGGTCCATGAGTGCTGCTATCCAGCAAGGGCAGCAGTAGCTTAGGAGGTATGGCAGCTTGTCCAGTAATCAGAAGGTTGTAGGTTCAATCCCAGCTCCTTCCAGAGAATCTTGCTTCCACCAGTCCACCCCGTGGCAGCTGTGGCTACAATGTAGCTAATCACCAGTGTGTGAATGGGTAGGTGACTGTGTTGTGAAGTGTCTTGGGGGGCTGTAAAACCCTAAGAAGGTGCTACACAAGTACAGGCTATTTACCACGTTGAGTTGTTGCCCTGCTCCAACACACCTAATTCAGTGGTTGAATCACCTGTTCACCAGCTCACCAAGCTCGACAGAAACCTTTTTAATCACCGACTTATTAAATTCAGATATGTTAGAGCAGGGAATCAACAAAAAACATGTTGGATAGCAGCATTCGAAGACCAGGATTGCCTATTAAGGTCTGAGCTTATAATGTTTTAAGTCAGCTTTTCTTAGAGGGAACCATTTCTTCACGGTCAATTACAAAATTACTTATTTGCATTGGAAAGCAGGTTGGAAATGGCGCAGACTTTCTGTATGGTACATTAGACACCCCGAGCTATTCAACAAGAGAAAAGATGTCCTTCACTGAGAAACCAGCTAGGCCAGCTCTGGCCCAATCTTCAATGTTCTGGTCAGAAAACAAGCTGCTTGATTTAGTTATTAGATGAATAAAAGTCAAATGTTGGCTCACACAAGTAAGGGATCAGTGGATTTGGTTCCATTAACGCAAGTGCATGGTTTACATATGAGATTGAACAGTGACGTACAGCATATGTTGGTATCTCAGGGATTAAGTAGCTGAATGACGGTCTTCAAGTTTGCTTTTCTGTCAATCATTAAAGTCATTCTGTTCATGGTGTGTTGGCTAATATTAGAATGCCCCTGCTTACAGTTCCTAAGAGTTTTTATCCCAGGTTTCTATTATTACAACACTACACCCAGAGATAACTGTACCAGGATGTAAGCCTTTCTCCCTCCTCACTTGACTTACTTTATAAACGCTTTGATGTATTTGTTGTCCTTTGAATAAACTACATGCTGTGCTGTGAGACCTGATACTCTTCTTTCTCTACAAGTAGAGCTCACAACAAACACTCCAGATTTACGTGCACTTCTGCGATTGTAAAACACAAGGTGTGCGTGTGCGTGCGTGTGTGTGTGCGTGCGTGCATGCGTGTAATGATCCAACTGTAACTAACATGCTGCAGCAGACAATGAGTGACACATTTGTGTGACAATGCAAATTACTGGAAAAAGTAAAATAACTTGTATAACTTCCAGCTAATGTAAGAAAAAAAAATTCTGAAGAATTTTGTCAGATTAAATCATGGTGATGTCACCTGCTCACTGCAAAACTGCAACACTTATTCTCTTGCAAAGTCATCATGGTGGATTAATCCCTTAATCATCCTGCTTCTTTTGGCTGGTTTCGGGTCATAGATATTTTTCCTGTACGTTGAGTCTCACTCATTACTCAAAACATCCCAGTGACTGATATCTCCCCGTGTTGTCCTAACACCTGGATTTTTACAGGCTAGTGTTTGTTATGGGGGGCTGACATCAGGGCATATGTGTGTATCTGTATGTGCTCGGGTATGTGCTCAGTCATTGCTTTTAATGCCAACTTCTAGCCCAGCGGCGATTAATCATACAGCCATGAATAAGGAAATGGATTAAATTTCTTATATTAGGAAAAATGCAGAATTTCACCTGTTCCTCAAAGTTTGAATTTAAATTTCACACACCAGTGATGACATTTTTTTGATTAATGTTGAACCTTTGTAATGCTGTAGCATTTTAAAAATTCCTTTTATGTATGTATGGGCATGTGTAGACATACTTGTGTGGGTCAGTTTAGAGTTTTTACTTATAAAATGAGGACATTTTGACCATGTGAGGAAATTTGGCTGTTTTCATGTTGAGTGACTGATTACAATTAGAGATAATCATTAAAAATGTTATTTTTTTCAGTGTTCTACACCTTTAAATCTGCTCAACTCATTCGCTGCCAGCCATTTCCTGATCATTATAGTCCTTCGCTGCCAGCGTTTCTCACCGTATTTACTGTTTTTTAAGAGTCACAGAACGTTGCTCGCTAGGATGACGTCGACTCCAAAACAAAGCGGAGGCTCACCTCTTACATCAGGAAGAATCCCCGCGTTTCGAGCGTTATCCGTTCTTTCATAATCCGTTGTTGAATTGTGATTGGCAGAAGCTTTTACGGTTCGCGCCTCACTTTTTTTTTACAGCAGCGGCCCAAAACGATCTCCTAACACATGGATTTTCTGCTTCCTGATCACGTGACGTATGCGGATGAAGATCGGCTTTAGAGCTGAGATGTTTGTTCTCACGGTGCGGGGGCTCGTTCCGACGCCCACACAGTGAAAAAATGCAAATGACGACTTTGGTCGTCAATGGCAGTGAATGAGTTAAATGTTCACTGATAGAAAACATTTTCTCTTTGTCTTTTACTTTTTTTTATTGCTTATTCTTTAAGAAGACATTTTGAGAATTAATGTTTTGATGTCTGTTTTATTGAGTTATGTTCTCTAATGCTTCACACAGAACAGGATTGAGACCCATTCTGAATCACTGATGCCATTATTGTGGACTCGGCGTAAGAAGCCACGGCATCCTTTTTGTTTTACTCTATCGGATAAAGAAGGCTAAAGGCTAACATTGAGCTAGCAGTGGTGGATTAGAAAATAATTGGCTCTGGTGGCTGTGAGGTAACTTTTTTTTTTATTTATACATTGACTGCAGTACCCACATTTGACCACAGGATGTCATTTTTAATTCATGCACTTTTAACGCTAGGGTTCGTCTTTATTTAGTCACTAAAATGAATGTAAGTTAATGAATGGTTCTCACCGGTATATCGAGACAATCTGTGTGCTGGCGAAATAGTGGTACACTGTATTAGCTTTGATATCTACCAAAAATGGAAAACGTAAAGCCTGAGCGCTGAAGTTGTCTGCCAGCCTTGTGCCCCTCCTGCTGCTTCCCCATCTCCCCCTCTCATTGCTGCTCACACTGAGCAGGAAAGGAACAGAACATCGAGTACCTTCAGCACATTTTTCTCATTCCCTTTTGAGGGTCTCATTCTCTGGCCTCTGAAAACTCCACCCCAGCACTTAAAAAAATATATAATAATGTTTCTCACCAACCGCTCATAACCCATCAGGGGCCACATGTGGATCGCTTGGTTGTGTTTTTGTGTGTACCAACCTGCTCCTTTTTTTTCCCTTTCCTCCAGCAGAGTTGGTGTGGTGGACAGCGGTGGCTAAGATGACGGAGTACAAGCTGGTGGTGGTGGGAGCAGGAGGTGTGGGCAAGAGTGCTCTCACCATCCAGCTCATCCAGAACCACTTTGTGGATGAATATGACCCCACTATAGAGGTATGACACGCTTCAGTTCCTCCTTTTAATCCCTGTGGGAGTCGTATTTGATTTGAGGGGGTGGTGGGTTCATAATGACGCAAAGAATGTAATTATTTTTCCCCCATAGTCTACAATTTTACTATTTTTGATTTTATGCTGTCTATCTGATCCACTTGATGCAGCTCTCACCGAGATGACAGCTCAGCCTAAACCCAATCCAAATGTACAGACTTTGAAGGAATTCCTATTGCTTCTAACTTTATTCCTCGTAAAATTCAAGATGTTGCAGTGAGAAAGAAGTCCAGTGGGAATAGTTTCTTTCATTTTTCTGCCTCTGCCTCCTCTCTCTCCCTCATTTTCTCGCCACGCCTGCCTCTGGCCACACAATGTCCTTTTTGTGTATTTGCATTCCTGGCCCCTATGCTATAACAAAGGGACAGCTCTCCATGTTTTTGTGACTGCATGTTGGAAGGCTAAACATTGGCTCTGATACCCTGCTCCTCTGATCTCCTGTTTTTCCATAGGATCTAAAAGTGGGCAGGGATTTAATAACAAGTGCTGGTTAATGCACGGTCACCCAAACATTGCAGTATTTGTTACCATGTACCGTGTACATACGTGCTGCTTAACCTTCAGTGCCCCAGCCCTGCGATGAGACCTCGGCAGAGAAAAAGCAGTGCGCTGCATCAAATCCCACCTGCACCAACCGTCTGTGAGCAGTGATTTCTGCACCGATTTTTTACGTTTCTCTGGTTTTCCCGCAGGACTCGTACCGAAAGCAAGTGGTGATTGATGGGGAGACCTGCCTGCTGGATATTCTGGACACTGCAGGTCAAGAGGAATACAGCGCCATGAGGGACCAGTACATGAGAACGGGGGAGGGCTTCCTTTGCGTTTTTGCCATCAACAACACCAAGTCTTTTGAGGACATTCACCAGTACAGGTGTGTTGAGACGTCCACACAAGCTAAATGGTGGAAGCCAGCAGTCGTCAGTATTTGCCGATCAGTCTGGTTGGCTTAAAGTCACAGATCTTCCACTTCTTAGCTCTTTTATAATGTGCATGGGTAAATGCACGGCGATGGAGGGACTCCTGTTAGGGTCTGGCAGGAGAGGGGTGTGTGTGTGTGTGTGTGCCTGCTCTCTGCAGTAGTAGGATGATGTCATGCTGTAGCGTTTAACACGGCTAAAGAAAGCTTAGCCCCCAACTGGAGGCTTGCAGCACGGTGCCAGTGAAATTGATCCTGACTCAATTAGTGGAGCAGGCCGAGGTAGTGCTCCCAAGGACAGGGAAGGAGAAAAGAAAGGCGGGTGGAGAGGTTCAGCTACAGATGACGGTGCTCCTCTTTTTCGTCACATCAAACTGGTTTTTGCCAGTCTTGCATGTTAAGAAAGACTCTCGTGAAATTTTTTCTGTGTAGATCAAAACGTTTGGCTTGCTGCCCTGCAGCCCATCCCTTTCCAGACCTGGCTGCAAACCGTTGTGTGAAAGCACACATGGTGTTAGAGCTGATAATGGTTCGGTTAAAGCTCGTAAGTTTCTTACGCGTGGAAAACAACAAAAAAAAAAAAAAGCCTCACCAGCAAAGCAAATCAGAGACCTAAACCCTTTCAAATCTCGAGTGAGGCCCTGATCGCTGTAAACGGTGATTTGAAATTGGAGCTCGCGGACGGCAGACGTCCTGTTCTGCACAGGCTAACTGAGAAGAACTGAGCTGATCCAACCCAACCCTCTCACTCAGCAAGCCCCCAGTCTGCAGAGCGTTTGGCACTTGCTGCTGTAGTGATGAGGTAATGCTGTTTGCTACTCGGCTGTTGTCTATCCCTCTGCCTCTCCCCCTTTTATTCCTCCCCACCGTCCTCCTTCAGCAGTGCAGTGCAGACATGCCCTGGCTCTACCTCTGGGTCCTAAAGCTCCCTGGGTGTTTGGATCTCCAGTGGAGATGCTGTGGTGTGTTTATGGAGTGCTGATGATCTAATATATTAAGATGTGCCATTGTTGCTGATTCAAGAGCTTGGTTAAGTTATGAAGGAAAAATCAAGCAAATGTTTCTAAATGACATTTTTATTTACAGAGAGCAAATTAAGCGTGTGAAGGACTCTGACGATGTTCCCATGGTGCTCGTGGGAAACAAATGTGACCTCCCGGCACGTACAGTGGACACACGGCAAGCCCAGGAGCTAGCTCGCTCTTACGGCATCCCTTACATCGAGACCTCTGCCAAAACGCGACAGGTAGGCGGTGAACAGAATTTATAAATTATTTTGTTTTCTTGCAGGAATTTTACATCACATTTCAACCAAAACTCTTAAACCTTTGAGCTGATTGCAATTAATCTAGTGAGATCATCTACAAGGCAATCTACAAATTGTTGCAGCCCTTTAATTTTGGCATCTGCATTTTTTGCATTCATGCAAGAAAAGAGCTGTGCACGTCCTTTGGTGTGATGTAATTTTTGTTGAGAACATTTTATTATGCCGCAGGCAGTGACTCATAGCAAGCTTACCTTGGCTTGAGAATAGAGCTACAGTATTTGAAAGGCCCCATGAGGACTAGTTGCTGCACAGCTCCCGCTGTCTGACTCACTGTCGCATTACGTGTTCACCCACAGACTCGTATTCATGCTTGAACTGGCAGAATCTCTGTCACAGGAAACGCATGAAACTAAGCTCTTTATCTTTAATTTATCAAGGATTTTTTTATCAACTTGTCTGGAATGATGAGGGTTGCCATGGTAATTTTAGCAGGTGGTGTATACACCTGAGACATTTGCTGTCAACTGTGAAAAGACGTGTTTGTGACCACAGCAAATGTTCATATCGTTCTCTAATCGTGTGTGTGTGTGTGTGTGTGTGTGTGTGTGTGTGTGTGTGTGTGTGTGTGTGTGTGTGTGTGTGTGTGTGTGTGTGTGTGTGTGTGTGTGTGTGTGTGTGTGTGTGTGTGTGTGTGTGTGTGTGTGTGTGTGTGTGTGTGTGTGTGTGTGTGTGTGTGTGTGTGTGTGTGTGTGTGTGTGTGTGTGTGTGTGTGTGTGTGTGTGTGTGTGTGTGTGTGTGTGTGTGTGCGCGCGCATGCGCGCGCGCTTGTTTGTTTGTTTGTGTTCCCAGGGAGTGGAGGATGCGTTTTACACGCTGGTGAGGGAGATCAGACAGCACAAGTTGAGGAAGCTGAACCCACCTGACGAGAGCGGTCAGGACTGTATGAGCTGTCGATGTGTGGTATCGTGAAGCAGGTGAGACGCTACCAACTCTGAAACAGTCGCCTAATTGGCCTGTTGGGCTGGAATCTTGATATACACTGGGTCTCGGAGTGTGACTACATACCGAGTATTACATAGGTTTGGACAGTGTATGAAGTTTTCCAAGGCGATATTCCTTTTGTCTTTAAAATGCTCTTGATTTGCGCAGGTTACATTTAGACGTTTTGTGGGCCTGACACACTGCTCGGAGCGATCTAACAATCACAATCTTCCTTACTCGAGTTGTGGAATCAGGCCACAAGGATTCCTCATGCTTCAGATCATTGTTTTCTGACTTTGATCAGCTATTTGTGGCACCAGTCAACATACTGCTCTGCCAATGGTTTGAGCTACCTGGGAGATATCAATCAGAAGTTTGAGGCAAACACGAGGATGCTAACGAAACTTACGATGAGAGACGCATTTGAAGGAAATGTAGGATGTTTTTAGCAGTATAATAGGTTGAATTGTGAATAGAAGACTTGTTGTGGACCAACTATTTATTTTATTGGAGTACATTTATTGGACCCTTGTAGATTTGCAACAACTGTTTTTGTTTGAGATGGCACTATTGTGTCAATTAGGGCTGCAGCTACCAAATATTTTAATATTCGAATATTCTATCGAATCCTCCAGCGATGAATGGAGGATTATATTTGACGACGTTTCAAGTGGAATGGGACTATTGGTAAAAATATGAAAATAAGATGGCAAAATTGTAAAAGACTCAATAATATGTATTAAATTAGTGTTTTCTAGTTCCCTCTTTCCTTGCTGAAATTTATAGTTGATAAATATGTTATGGGAAAAAATTTGACTTGCATTTCATTCACATTTTAGGTTTGTATTGACCTCATCCTAGTCAAAATTACATATCTGAATATATTCACATATAATCAGTAGAATTTTTTATTTCAATACCATGTTCAGTAGTATTTATAACAATTAATTTCTACTGGTAAAAAATTACTTGTGGTGTGTGTATTTTATTATGTAGGGGTTGGCAACATAATCTAGTCTAAATTCAATGTCAAAGCATTTGTAAGTTGCATGCTACAATGGCTTGCCATAGTACTTGTAAAGTTTAGTCGAGTTTAGTCGTTCACAACCACCACGTTTATTCTGAACCACACTTGCTCGTGAGAAGGCTACCCGCTAGCTTAGCATTAGCTTCTCTGCTTGCAGTTTCTCTTGATCCCAAACTTTGGACCGTTTCTTCCTTTTACAACGAGTTGTGTCTTTGCTGGTTTTTCTATTTTCCTCCACAGCACCTAGATTACCACGTAGTGCGCCAGTTAAATGTGTTCAAACTGTGGAGCACACGATAAACAAAGCCTCGAATCGGTAAAAACAAAATGAATCCAGGAATTTAATTAAGTCATTTGATGATTTGTTTCAGCCCTAGTGTCAATGATAAGAGGCTTTGAGCTGTGATTTAGACATAGGGCTGTGTATTGGTGAAATTCTAGCGATACAATATGTATCGTGATACGGGGAGACGATACGATATATCACAATATTTTTGCGATACATTCAGCCAGATGATATTAGTGATTTTTTTTAGACTGAATTTATCATAGGAGAATTCGATAAACAGTCCAAACTGATTTGTAACATGTTAAACATGAGGTATCTGAACCATAATAGAGATTTACATTTCAATGGTGGAAACAAAACCCATTGTACACTGCTGTTAACTAGTGGTCAGCATTTGAATTGCACCAACAGAAAAGAAAATCCACAAATATTTGCTTCCATACATGGCTTTTGAATATCCATATAATATTGCAGGAAAAAATATTGCCATATCAATGTTGTCTTACACCCCTAGACATTGGTATGAATTTCTGAGTGGTTTGACAAAAGCGATACAGGTGTATCCGTGATTGACATCCACCATTGGAATGACAAGAATCCTAGTTTTCTAATGAGGTATAATAACTAATATGTATGTACATACTAGCAACAAGTTTCTGATTTGACATGGAGACAAAAATTCAGTACTGCTCGTAAAACGATAGGCAAAGGGCTTGAATTATCGCCGGTGGTCGACTAATTAGTCCAATTGCCCAACCTTGGTATTCCAGTCTGTTGTCCAAGAATTGATTATTTGATTTCATTTCCCAGCTCTCCATCACGCATTGAGGAGAAACGCTACAGTGTGAAGTGGCAGCATGGACTTGATGACAGACATAACAACTTAAAGATGAAACGTGAACATTTGTCAAATGGAGGATGATTGAAGCAAAAGCTCTCAAGGAAACACCCGGGCTTACTGAACCATAGACTCATGGAAAGGAGGATTATGGACTGGTGCCTAAACGACTCGCTGAACTGGCCTGATCAAGTCTCTTCTTTTAAACGGGGACGTATCGATCTGCGAGCAACATCACTAATGACTCATTCAAGCTGGGTTGTTCCGTATATTTCCTGCTAACTTATTTTCAGCCTCAACACTGGTTGTAAAGAGGAAGCGTCTCTTACACCTTCCTGCCTTGAAGCCTAATTCCTTTCCCCTTGCTAGCCTCTGGAAGTACTGACTGGATAAAATGGAAAGAACTGGATTGTTTTCCATCTCCCCACATAAATAATCCGCCTCTACCTGCACCGGGTGTCCCCAAATGGTTTTCCAGGCCTGTAATTTATTGGATTTATAGTTAGTTATTTACCAATTAACCTAAACTGTAAAAAAAATATGATTTGGTTTCTAGGGTGGATTTTTTCATGTTTGTTTGATCACTACAAGTACGCGTTGTCTGCAGACAACTCCTGGTTTGGCATCTTTATCCTTTCTTGATGTGTTTTTTATTGTGGCATAGATGCATTAATTGAAGATAACCGAAGTATTTGTGGATTTCTAGGCTGCAGCTACCTTCCCTTTTTACACATTGTCATTTTTTTTTGTGTAACCAATAGTGTAACGTACGTTCTGGTGCAATAGGACTTTCCAAACCACACCAAGTGTTGGAAATTAACATTTTCTGACAACGTCTTATTTTTATTATAAATTCTTACTCATTTAGGATTTTGGATGGAAAGGTGCATTGCGTAAAAACGTGGGCGTCATCAAGAAGCAGCATAGACTGTTTCTAGAGAAAAAAAGACTGCATTTCTTTTCTGTAAGTGTAGTGTTTACAACTTGTTTTAGACAGCAAGAATTGCCTTTTCTTTTGATAACAAGGCTCAGGAATTATGGTCTAATCTGAAAGTCCTGGCAGCCAGGATGAAGGTGAGTTAGTTTTCCAGAGCGTCACGCACAAGTCCTGCCTCAGAGTGGAACACACACGCCGTACTATCCTCAAATTGATCTTCGCCACCTATAGCTCTTTACAGGAGCAATAACAAGCCAGGTGCTAACCTTATCCAACCATATTTACTGGGTATATGTGCAGCAGGTTGTAGATAATTGGAACACATTGCTTGATTTTAATACCCCTAAGCTTGTGCTGTCCATAACTAATGGATGAATTCGCTGCCGATAAGACTGATGTTTATTTTGTTTTTTCTTTTAGCGAGTTTGTACCTAATTTTAGCGACAAGCTCGGCTTGAGATGATTGTTTATGTGGGCAATCCAAATGATACAACTGTTTTGCGCTGTACAGAATTTGGAAATAACTCAATAAAAACACTACATTTTTTGCTTGCTTTATCGGATCTGTCTGACTAGGGTGTAGTTTGAGTTTGCTAATTAAAATCTTGTATAGTATTGTAAAATAAAAAGCCCCAGCATCACAGAAATTGTCAACATCCAGTCATATAACACAGGTGGTGAAATTTAGTCCACATGATTCCATTTAGCGCAGGCGGAGAGATCTTGGGCACTTTCTGCAAATTCTGGAATCTTTTTTTTTTTATTTTCAGATCTTGGATTTCCTGCAGGTTTTTGTGAAATTTGCTAGACTCTGGAGTCCTTTCATTGGATTGTTTTTTGTGTTTTTTTTTTCTTGTACAGTTAAAACGAGTCCTTAATTTGACCACTCCTTGTGGTTAATAGTCTTAATGGTTAACTGTTAATTTCAAAGCTTGGAGGAAGTTTAAAAACTGTGAATGTGTTTTAGTCTTTAGAAAAGAAGCCTTGTGGTAAAATCTTTTATCAGCAGTGGTTTTGGCCGTTACCTTTAATTTCTTTTTAACCCTTTGGGCTCAAAACGTTTTAATGACAAAAAGGTAAACAGGAGTTTGTAACATTTAACGACATCTGTGGTGGTGTCCTCATCTCATTACACCCGCTTTAGTATGATCAGAGAATTCCACAAATCTATGCATCCAGATTCCCGTTGCTTTCCAACAGCAGCAGCACGTTGTTGAGATTACTTGGCCAGTGAAATGCCAGAAACCCTAGTGATCATGGCGAAGACTGAATGGACCTCTGGAGGGTTTGCACAAAGATGTAATGGACTCGGTAGTTTTTTTGTTTTCTCTCCTTGCAGACTGTGGAATAGAGGTGTAGAAGGATTTTGTGAAAAATGTCAGCCGTGTTGCTATTTAAGATGTATTTACCCCTTGAAATGTGGCAAAATGTAATGCAGGACAAAATAAAGACGTCAAGCTGAAGCCGTTTTTAACCTCTATTTAATTTTTTTAAATATTGGATCTGCTGCCACCTACAGGCCATGGCATGTGCTGCATTAGAGCCTCGACAGGTGGGGAAGAAGTAAAGGTTCATAAGATTTTCATAAATTATCTAATATTGTGTTATATGCTGTATTTAAAACTGTCCCTGTCTTTTATAAGAATGTTTAGGTTTTGCTAATAATAATGGCACATTAATAGAAAATTAAATCATGTAATATTAGGAAATAACATTATTTTAATTAGATTTTTATTTTTAGGTGAAAAATCATTTATTTGGGAAAATTATATATATATATATATATGTATATATATGTATATATATGTATATATATATATATATGTGTATATATATATATATGTGTATATATATATATATATATATATATATATATATATATATATATATATATGTATATATATATATGTATGTATATGTATATATATATTTTACTTATATATATATATTATACTTTGCAGAGCAGAATTGGCTTTCAAGGGTCATAAGAGGCTGGAGGTTGTCCCAAAGCGAAGTACCTTATGAGTAGTGTTTACTCTTGATTCTAATGAAACTGCATTCTTTTGATCCTTTCCTGAAAAATATCATATAATCATACGAATCAGCAGGAACATGATAAAGAAAATGCTTCCTGAGGTAAGGATAATCATTTTAAATCACTGGATTAAGAACTAGATTTTTTTATGTAGGTTTGCTTGGTTTGTGTCTCTTAAAGGAATATCTTCGACAATATGTGGCTGATCAAATGTACGTTGCAATAACTTGCTTCCAAAACCTCCTTCCTGTGTTGGATCAGTACAGTATGTGTGGAAATATCACCTCGTGTCAGGTGGAGCTTGTTTAGCTGAAGAAAATCTCATTTCTGCATTAAATTTTCTACAGTTTATTGTGATGGAACTAGAAAGAGCTTGAGTCTCACAGGAACCATTCCTGTCGTGATTTCAGGTAGGTTTGAACTTCTGTGCAGAACAGATAAGCCATGATGTTCACTTTTACCTCAGACCGACTTATTGCTGTTTTATGGTGTGGCTGAATCTGCGATCCGCTGTCATGCGGACCGGAATAAAAAATGCTGCAGTGGACTTGTGGTCAGGTTCGGAGTCACTGGCTGGAGCGGACCCGACTCATCCCAGAAGCTAATATCTTAATTTGACCTTGAATGAAAAATAACCTCTTAAAAGTTTTTATCACGGTGGAGGCAGCGTTCATTTCTGCCTTCAGTCTGACAGCGGGCCGGAGTTAAAGCAGCGTGTGCGCTTATTGAATGTGTGTGTGTGTGTGTGTGTGCGCGCGCCTGCACGCGCGGCACAGCCGCTCAAGTCACCGCGTCTCGCGCTATTTAAACCAATGTTGTAAAATGACTTCTGCCCAGCCCAGATGTGCTCACTTGTGCACCCGTGAGCCGTGGTTCAGCCGGAACACGTCTGACCTCTGACAGACGCACTCTGAACTTCAGATCTTCAGCGCACTGTCAATAGCCTGAATGGGAATCATTTCTTGTTATTTTGTTACATCCACAATGTTCTGTGTGTGAGGTTTACAATGTCAGAACACCTGCATGAGACAGGTGTTAATTACAATCTGCCAGAATGTCTCGCCACCTTCAGATTTCTCCAACATCGTTAAAAATGATCAAATACGGAACATATCAGCGTGCGCAGGCCAGAGTGCTGAAGCTCGGCGCATTGTTATTATGAAGTTAGGGCACATGTGGAGGACACGCACGCGCGCGCGACGGAACATATCGGCGTGTGCAGGCCAGAGTGCTGAAGCTCGGCGCATTGTTATTATGAAGTTAGGGCACATGTGGAGGACACGCACGCGCGCGCGACGGAACATATCGGCGTGTGCAGGCCAGAGTGCTGAAGCTCGGCGCATTGTTATTATGAAGTTAGGGCACATGTGGAGGACACGCACGCGCGCGCGACGGAACATATCAGCGTGCGCAGGCCAGAGTGCTGAAGCTCGGCGCATTGTTATTATGAAGCTAGGGCACATGTGGAGGACACGCGTGCGCAAAAATATACTTTTTTTCAATTACATTTATTGTGCCCACTTACTTTTTCTTTGGCCCACCCACAAATGAGTTTCTACGCTAATGGTGACATATGACAGACTTCTCTGAGCTCCGCAGCCATTACACTTTTCACCTCGCGCACCCCCTAGCGGCAGCTCGCGCACCCCCAGGGGTGCGCGCACCACACTTTGGGAATCCCTGATCTAGGTTAATGTTTAACATGAATTAAAGACAGAAGCATGACTGGTTTTACCTTTTTCAGGGTGAATGTGACTTGGCGAGCCTCCTGCAGGTTATGGTTGCCATGTTTGGAGAGTGCCCTCCTGTGTGTATGAAACCGGGGTTTGGACAATCTTCCTGTAAGTGACACGTGTTGGAATGTATTAACACAATAATCGCTACAACATGCCTGATGAGCACCAGTTCTGCTCTATTTTTACACCTCATGGATGTGTTGTTCATGTTAGATGAAAAACATCTTTCTTTTGTAGGTTGGCAGCATTACAGACGAGATGAGGGCTTTTGTCTGCTTTTAGCCAAAGATGATGGTCACCCTTTCCAAAATGAAACCAACTGTTAACTCTCAGTTATTTCTGCAAATATCTATCCTATTGTAAATAAACATTAATATAAAGGTTTGTGTAGTTTTAGCCTCCTCTGACCCAAACTTGAATTTGGTGTTATTTCAACGAGAAAAACATGTCTATCTATTATAGATTAGTTGACTGTAATTTACAGAAAAAATATAAAATTTCTATAAAATGTTGTAAAATATTCTAAATACAGAAATGCAACCAAAACATTAATAAGTACAATTTAAGTCAATATCAAGTGTCTATAAATTATGACATAAAGGTCTAAGTAGAAGAGAATACATTTTTAGAGTGCAATGAGTCAATGTCCACATCGTGAACATGGGGGAGATCCTCCGAATGGCTGGATGCACTTATGAGAACGGTGAGGCGATCCTCTGTGTAGAAGCCATTGTTCTGCAGATGTTCTTCATGCGGTTTACTTTTATTTCTGGCAGTTGTTAAAACCACCGTGCTTCTCGCTGACATCAATGATTTCTCAAATGTCAATGAAGTTTACAAGCAGTGTGAGTGTGTTGGCTTCCCCTCTATAGATAAGAGCTGTTGTACAACCCTGACCGCTGCGTGTCAGCACAAACTAGCTATACCACAAGTCCCATTTATTTAGCATAAGGAGCCTTTAGATCTTCCCGCTTTGCCCATCTTTCCTTAGTTTACTCCATATATGTTTTTATATTCCCTACTTCTAAATAAAGTGATGTTCTGTCTGGAAGAGTTTTTATGGCTCCATGCTGATGTGAGGAGAGATACCACATGTTGCATAAGCCAGTTAAACACCGAAACCAGAGATGATTCAGTGTTACTGTAGGGTTAATGACCTAAACATAGGAATTAAAGGCTGTCGCTATCAGCTTATATTTTAATTTCTAAACTCAAACAAATTGACGAATGAGATTATATATGGATATATAAATATAATAGATATAAATTTATACACCAACTTGCTTGGTCTATGTTTAATCAAAAGTTTATTATATTTATTTTTAAAGATTTAATTTAATAGCAAAGATTATTTGTTAATTCAGAAGATCTAAAGATCTTTGCCTGTTCAGTGATCAATGTACACCCACTCTGTGTTTATTTCAAGAAAGAGTCAAGTTTAAGAAGGTTAAGAAATTTATTACTAAACAATTATAAAACATGACAACTTATAAAAGACTTTGATATTAAAAAGACTTTGGTATTAAAAAAGCAACCCTGTGTTTGGATGAATCTAATATGAAGTGTTTGTTTGCGGGTGAATGCAATGTCTCTGAACGTGTCTGGTGCGGGTGTTCTCTGGAGGGCCCTCGGTCGACGCTGTAGCGTAATGGTTTATTGACGTTACAACTCGCAGGTGCAGTCAGAGATCAGGGTCAGCCAGTGTGGTCACAGGGTGGCATTCAACCTTCCCCCTGTGGTAGGCGAGTCACCAACGTCAGGTCTAGAGGTCACTAGCACCAGCTGTAGGAGTAGGGTCAGTGATGTTGTAAGCCCCCCCTTCGGCAGGTGGCATCCCCACCGCAAGGTACTGGGCTTCAGCTGGAGTCTCGGCGCCACCATCAACTCCCCCTTCGGCAGGTGGTGTTCCCACTCCAGTGTGCGGAGTCTCAGGTGCGGTGCCACTGCAAACTCCCCTAGGTTAATGTTGGTTTATGCTTGACGCATCCGCGAGGTTGCGTCATTTTAACAACCACGCCCCTCCACCGCGCCTCCGCACGGCCCAAAATTTCCGCACCGCGCACCTAGGAAATTTTCTAACCATGCGGACGGTCGGACGCGGAAAAACATGGCGGACTGGCAAGAACTAGTATGGCAGAGGTTCGTAAATACAGACATTTGTATGATTCAGCTCTCAGAGATCACCGTGATCAACATGTTGTTAATAATTCTTGGAGAGAAATAGCTCACACTGTCGGAAAAGACGAGGACGCTGTTAAAACATGCTGGAATGACATGTTGTAAACAGTAATTTTTACTTCTACTATGGTGTAGTGTTGGATGCATGCCGTAGAGCTCTATGCTGCCCCCTACAGTTTGGGAGAATATTAGCTCACCGCAGAGACAAGCCGCATGAACCTATAAACGCTGCAAGTTGTGAAGCGCGTTCCATCCGCGAGCCGCATCACCAAGCGGAAAGTGAATGCGTCAAGCATAAACTAAGCTTTAGGTGGTTTTCCCACCCCCGAGTGAAGCAATCTTGCTGCAGAGATGACACAGACTCTGTGGGTGTCACTGACCTTGGAGGCTGTGGATCGACTGGTCACTTTGACAGCGCCGTTGTAGTTAACAACACCTAGAGAGGGAATGACACGAACACGAAAGAGAGCCCATAGCTCAGGAACGGAGTCAAGCTTGACAGGAGAAGGCAGATGAGCTGTCGGATCAGAAAGGTACAGGATCATCCTGCTAATATCAGAGTCCTGGGACTGAAGACTGACAAGGTTGTTTTCAGAAAAGACAGGAAGAACAGACTCAAAACCATCGGACGGTCGAGAGGTGGACGCGTTAACGGCCTGAGCTCAAGTCACGACACACACACGGGGTGGGTTTGACCGAGAAGACACACTGTCAGGGAGCCACAAGGGGTTAAAGGACCATGGGGTACCAACAGCTGCACCTTGTTTGGCAAGAGAGTCTGCAATCAGATCCTTATCAGTTCCGGGTACACGAGAAAGACCTTTGACTTCACGCCAATAGATCTGCATGTCATGTGATGTCGCTAGGGTTATCACAAGCCATGAAGAGGTCTTGATGTTTAACGGGCTTCCGGTTAGAGGTTAAGAACCCGTTAATTTTCCAAGAAGGTAAGGGAGGTGGTGGAGGACCTAAACTTGGAGACGGCCACAGAAAAGGAACGCTCAGAAAGATAGGAGGAGAACCACTCCAGAGCAGTTCCTGATAGAACTGCCCAGTCTCTCAGCCTCTCCAGTAGCAGGACAGCTTCACAGTGGAGGATAGAAAGTTACTAAACTCCTGAAGAAAAGAACTGTTTGGACCAGGTGGACGATAGACCACAGCACAGTAGAACGGGTCCTTACGCCCGACTTTAATCAGCTGCAGTTCAATGGAAGCAAAGTGACCAGAGGTTGTAGAGCTACGTGGAAGATGGTCTCTGAAAACAACAGCTAGGCCTCCCCCACGACCAGAACCCCGGGGCTGGCTAAGAAAAGAATTACCACTCGGGCAGAGTTCAACCAGACCAGAATATCTTGGGCGATCGTGAACAAACGGAAGGACAAAAGAGTCTGGCGATCATAGGAGATGGTAGCAGGGACACTACTGAAGAGTATCGCAGACAGGAGCAAGGTGGAAAAGAGGAGGTTAGTGGAGAAAAGTTTGAAAAAGTGGCCGGTGACTGCGGCTAAGCCAAGCACAGGCGCCATCTTGTTACCGACCGGAAGCGGAAAGAAGGTCACTGGCCGATGTTGTGTTTCAATGACGATGATTTTCTGTCCACCAATGTAGTTGGAAAAGTGTTTAACTGCCCACATGGTGGAAAGCAAAGCTTTTCACAGTCAAGAGTATTTAAACTCAGGACCGGACAAGAGCTTACTAGCATATGCTACGACACGCCTGTCACAGTCATATACTTGATAAAGACCGACACTGAAGCAGTTAGATGAGAACACGACCTCAAGGTGGAACTCTTTGCCACAATCAGGAAGCGCAAGGCACGGAGCTGAGCATAATGCGACCTTCAGGTCGTACATGGCCTGTCGTTGCTGCTCAGTCTGAGGATGTGCCTATCGAGTAGACTGAACCATGCACGCGTGGCCTGTTGCTGCATGTCATTCCCTCTTTGGGTGTTGTTAACTACAACGGCGCCGCCAGGGTGACCAGTCTGTCCAATACCTCCAAGGTCAATGACACCCACAGAGTCTGTGCAAAACGCTTCCATCAATCCGTGCGCGTCTGTCCCTTGCGGAGCTGACGGAGAAGCATGAATCAGGCTTGAGACTCCGCACCCTGGAGTGGGAACACCACCTGCCGAAGGGGGAGTTGATGGTGGCGCTGAGACTCCAGCCGAAGCCCAGTACCTTGCGGCGGGGACGCCACCCGCCGAAAGGGGGGCCGACAACATCACCGACCCCACTCCACTACAGCCTGCGCCCGTGACCCCCAGCCGAGCCGGCGAGTCACCCACCGACGGGGAGGGCGAACGCCCCCCGCACCACCACCGGCCTACCCCGATCTCTATGACTGCACCTGCGCGTCGACTGAGGGCCCTCTGGAGCGCACATGTGTCGCCCTGAATCAGTTCTTCCTCTAAAAAAAAAAAGATGTGTCACTGACTATTTCCTCTAATTCTTCATCAGTAGGAGACATTTCCTCCTTTTCTTCTAAAGAAAGTGATATTTCAGCATTCTCCCCAAAGTTCTCCTCCATAATTGTGGAAAGACCAGCCTGATTCTCCCAAATATCCCTCTCCGTAGTCAGAGACAGACCAGCGTCCTCCCCCCATTGAGTCAAGCACATCCAAATCTGACGTAGTTACTTCATCTGACGTAAAACCAGAAAGATGCTCCACCTGAGACTAAATCTGTAAGGCTTGTTGCCAGCATTCAGACATCAATTCTGTTTGCTTCACAGCCAGACAGGACACGGTAAAAAAAAGAAAAGAAAAAAAAAGAAAAGAAAAAGAAATATTTTTCAGTCAGTGGTTCTGCGTCTTCATGGGCCACAGAGAGACTTGTTTGGGATCCAGAATCCTCTTCATGGAAAACCGATTGTTCGACGTCTCTGAGTAGACTAGTTGCTATCTCCAGGCCAATCTTCCGCTGAAACCGGAGATGTTTTCGCTTCTCCTTCCATAAAAGCCTCTAATTCTTTCAGCTCACTGGGAGCTTTAGAGCCAGAGTCTCTTAAGTCAAACACATCCAAATCTGATGTAGTTACTTCATCTGACGTAAAATCAGAAAGATGCTCCACCTGAGAGTAAATCTGTAAGGCTTGTTACCAGCATTCAGACATCAATTCTGTTTGCTTCACAGCCAGACAGGACACGGTAAAAAAAAAAAAAAAAAAAAAAAAAAAAGAAAAAGAAAGATTTTTCAGTCAGTGGTTCTGTGTCTTCATGGGCCACAGAGAGACTTGTTTGGGATCCAGAATCCTCTTCATGGAAAACCGATTGTTCGACGTCTCAGAGTAGACTAGTTTCTATCTCCAGGCCAAAACCATCGCTGCTTTCATATTCTGGTTTTCGCAAAGTGGATAAACTGTCTTCTGTTTCTCCGTAAGAATGTTCAACATCAGTTCTGTCAGCTTTCAGAGAGAGACGATTCGTCCCTTCATCGTCTGCAACCGATGGGTCGATGTCTCTGTAAAGAAGAAGAAAGTATCATTTCTATAGCGCCTCTCAAGATAAAAATCATGAGGCGCTTCTCAAAAGCACAAAATGTAAAAATATAAAAAAGCATTTAGAAAATGTTTAAAATACATATTTAAAATGAGCAAAAATTGGCAATTGTGATTAAAAAATGTCAAGAAAGAGTGAACAGGAAAGAGGGAAATCAGCAGTGTTGGGCAAGTTACTTCAAAACTGTAATGCATTATTTATTACTTGTTACCCTCATTTTAATGTAATTGATTACATTACAATATTACTGATTTTAAAATGTAAGGCATTACACTACTTTGGCATTACTTTAAGTTACTTTCACCAAAACAACTTCAATATGAATCTGGTAATGTGACGCTCAGTGCTTTAAAATGATTGTTTATTAAATAAAAGCAACAAAAAACTGTACTCTCAGCACGCTGCCATCTTAGATTAACTGAGCAGGGAGTGAGGTGGTGGGGGCTCCAAGCCTATTTTGCTTTGGTCCCCAAATGCCTTGATACGGCCCTGGATGTGGGACTGACTTCTGGGGTGATCTGATTCTATCACATGTATAAATATGAAATGCTTATATATTATTGCTTTTCACTGGTAAAAATGTGTATTGGGGCTAAATCTACCTACTTTTTTTCTTTTCAAGTTCTTTGTTTTGTTTTCTTGACTTTATTTGAATAATTTCCGGCCCTTTCTCTCTCTAACCTTCCTGCATGCTCAGAGGCGGAGCTGGCCTAAATGGCGCCCTGTGCGAGATCCCCCTGTGACCCCCCCCCCCCCCCCCCCCAACACCACCACCACCACCACACACACACACACACACAAGAAAAAACATTACACCTACAACTTTGTTTCAAATTGCGTGGAGTGTATATATAACAACGTTTGCTAACTGAATACAACATTCCAGCTCCTGG